CGCGGCGTCGCGGCGAATCGCGTCGAATCGCGGCGGTCGCGAACGTCGCGCGCGCGCCGTCGCCGCGGCAGCAGCACGCGGCGCCGCCGCCGCCGTCGACGACGACGACGCGCCCGACGCCGCCCCGCCCCGCCGACGGCCCCACTTCTCCGCCGCCGCCACCGCCTCCCACGCCGGGCTCTTCGCCCGCCGACCGTCCCCGCGCGGCGGCGGCGGCGGCGAACTCGGGCCGCCGTCCGCGCGGCGCGGCGTCGCGCGCGTCGTCAACGTCAACGGCGGCGGGCGCGACGCGTCGAGCTTACGCCGCGACGGCGCGCGCGCGACGTTCGCGACCACCGCGATTCGACGCGATTCGACGCGACGCCGCCCCGGCGCTTCGTACTCGGCGGCGATGATGAGGGGACTGTCGAACGGGTCCTCTCGCGCGCGCTGCGTCGCGAGCGACGCCGCGTGCGCGCGCATCTCCGCGAGGAGACGACGCGCGTTATCGTTATCGTCGTCGTCGTCGTCGTCGTCGTCGTGTGACGGCGGCGGTAACGGTCCGCGACGGGAGGACGTTCTTCCTCCAAATCCTCCCTCGAGCGCGTCGACGCGTCGCGAGAGCTCGCGGTTCCGCCGCGAGAGCTCGTCCACGCTCCGCAACGCCGCCTCGATCACCGCCTCCATCTCGCGCTCGCGCCTCGCGGCGTCGTCCGCGGCGCGCCGCGATCGCTCGCGCTGACGCGCGTCGCGGTCCTCGGTGATGCGCGCCAGGGATCGGATCCCGTCGCCCGCGGCGGCGGCGACTCTTGAGTGGGTGAAGCGATCGGTCAGTCGAACGTCTTACAGGTCAAACGTACGTTGAAAGGGAAGCGCGGGTGAAGAGTGACGACGGGAAAAGTCCTTAAGGGACGACGTGCACCACGCGAACGGGGTCGTATGGGAAGCAGTCTCACCGCGCCAACTTGCGTTCCATCGCGTCCATCGCGCCGTCGACGGCTTCGACGACGTCCTCGAGGTCTTCGCGCGTGAGCGCGAGGTGTTCTTCGAACGCGTCGGACGCGGCCTCGCGCGCGAGGCGCAACGCCGTGGCCGCGGCGTCGTCGACGTGGCTTTTAATGGACACGTGGCCGTCGCTGATTGGGTCCGCGTTGGCCGCCGCCGCGAGCGCGGCGGTGAGCGCCTCGAGCGCGTCGGCGCGGTTCGGCGGCGACGACGCATCGGGGCGGCGGCGCGACGGCGGTGACGTATCCGTCACGATCTTATAGTCGTTTTCATCGACGACGCGTCGCGGCTGCGACGGGGGAGGAGGCCCAGGCGGCGGCGGCGGCGGCGGGAATTCGGCGGCGAACGCGTCCGCCCACGGCGGCGGCGGCGGCGGCGGCGGCGGCGGGAATTCATCCGTTTCGTACTCGGCCGCGACCCGCGAGGCCCAGGACGCGTCGTCGCGGTCGCGGTCGCCGCCGCGCCGCTCGGCACCCACGTCGGCACCCACGTCGGCACCCGTGAGGTTAGGGAGAAGCACGCGCAGGAGCGCGGGCTCGTCGTCCGCGTCAGAGCCGACCGCGGCGGCGGCGCCGAGGGGCGGGAACGGGTCGGCGGCGCGCTTTATTTTGCGCGGCGGGTTTTTTTCGTCGCCGCTGCGCTTCTCTCCGAGACCGCCGCATCGCGCGCAATCGCGCCGCGACGCGTCGTTCACGCGCGCGCACTCGACGCAGCGCCACTCCCTGAGAGTGGCGCCCGCGGAGCTCGTCCCTCCTCGAGAGGGCAGCGGCACGGGGCGCTCGTCCTCTGGCCGGAGCGGTCGGCCGCACGCGGCGACGAGCACCGCGGGATCGTGCGCGCTCGGGTCGAACGTCTCCGCGATGGAATACGGGGAGGAATGCGTTCTGCTGATGACCGCCGGTCGCGCGCGGGCGCGGTCGCCGCGGTCGCCGCCGCGGTCGCCGCCGCGAAGGGCGTCGTCGTCCGAGCTCGTCCCCGACGCGCCCGCGTGCGACAGCGGCCCGACCGGCGAGGCGTCCGATTCCGGCGCGGACGACGCGTCCGAGGAGGACGCGTCGCCGCCGCCGGCGCGGGGACCGTCGCGACGTCGAGATTGCGACGATCTGACGTCGTCGTCGCCGTCGCCGTCGCGCGACGCCGCGATGCCGCGAGTCGCGCCGCGACGCGCCGCGCCCGATTTCGATTTCTCGACGACGCCCTTCCGCGGTCTCTTCTTCGCGCTCGCGTCGACGCTCGAGAGCGCCTTCGCGCGTCGCGCGCCGCCCGACTTCTCGCGCGCGACGCCCGCGGCGGGTCCACTCATCGTCGTCGTCGTCGTCGTCGCGTCGCGCGCGACGCGCGCGACGACCGAAACGCTCGCGGCCGCGGGCGTCTGATTCGCTCGGCGGCGACGGATGGCGACTCGCGGAGGGTCGCGCGCGCCGGTCGACGTCCGTCCGTTCGTCCGTCCGTCCGTCCGTCGCGCGCGGCGCGAGCGCGTGTGCGGACGTCGCGCGCGGCGCGTCCGTTCGTCGTTCAAACGCGCGACGAGCGCGGAAGCGACGGGGGGGGAGGCGGAACGTTTTCCTCGGAACGAGGGCGTAGGGAGGCGAAAGGGCACCAGGCGTTCTTTTGATGATGAGACGATGACATTCGAGATCACGGTTCAAATCGCGCGCCAGGCCGCTCGCCCACGCGCCCCCTCCCCCCGACGATGGGAGGGCGCTGCGGCAAGGCGGCGCCGTCGCCGTCCGACGCAAGCGGCGACCGCGCGTCCACGACCGCGTCCACGACCGCGGCGGCGACGATCGACGAGTCGCTCCCGACGCTGATGCTTCTCGGCCTCTCTGGCGCGGGCAAGTCCGCTCTCGCGCACGCGCTCGCGCACGGCGCGGCGGTGGCGCCGGCGTCGGCGCCGTCGTCCCCGCGCGTCGGAGGAGGACTCCGACGCGACGACGACGACGAGGAGGAGGAGGAGGAGGAGGGCGTCCTCTGCGCGCCGCCGCGGACGACCGTCGTCGCAACGTCCGTCGCGACCGTCGCCGGCGCGCGCGTCAACGTCGTCGACGTCCCCGGGAATCCGCCGCGCGCGTCCGACGGCCTAGGCGGATCCGGCGGCGACGCGACCGCGCGCGCGTGGCGCGACGCCATCGCGCGCTACGACCCGCGCGTCGTCGTCTTCGTCGTCGACGCCGCGGACGAGCTCCGCGCGCCCCTCGCGCGCGAGGAGCTCTGGGCGCTCTGCGGCTGCGGCGCCGGCGGAGGTGGCGGCGACTCATCACGCGAACGCCTCGTGCGCGGCAGGCGGCTCGTCGTCGTCGCGAACAAGCGCGACGTCGACGGCGCGATGGACGCGGACGAGGTCGCGGACGCGCTGGACCTCGACGCGCTCGCGCTCGAGCTCGGCGGCGACGTCGCCGGGACCGTCGCGTGCGAGTGCGCGTCGGCGGCGATGTTGGGGGGTCCCCGAGCGGCGTCCGCGGAGAGCGCGCTGAGGGGCGTCGTCGGCGCCGCCGTCGCCGCGGGGGGGGGCGTCGTCGGCGCGTGGGGCCCTGGGAGCGGCGGCGGCGGGGAGGAGGAGGGGACCCTGGGGGGAGGGGGAGGGAAGGGCCCAAGGGGGAAGGGGAAGGGCCCAAAGGGGAAGGCGGCGGTGAAGGCGGCGTGGTGACGTGGCGCGCGGCTTCTAGCGTAGTGCGGCGAGTGCCTAAAAAAGCTTTCCCAGTTCTGACTCGCTGGATCGAGGTGACGCGTGGCACCGACGCGTCACCATCCTTCGCGGTCCGTCATCGGTATCCGTCGTCGCGCTGCGTCCGCGGCGCGCCACTCTCAACCGCGCTCGGTCCCCTCCCTGAGTAAGACGCTCGCTCTCCCGTCGAGATGGCCGCTCTCTCCGCGATGACCCTCTCCGCGTCCGCGTCCGCCGCCTTCCGCGGCGGCGCGTCGTCGTCCAAGCTGAACAGCCGATCGAAGATGACCGCCACGATGATATCGTCGCCTCGATCGCGCCCGTCGCTCACGCGTCGCGCGGTCGTCTCTCCGCGCGCCGCCGCGACGCCCGCGGATAAGTCCAACATCGTCGTCATCGGCGGCACCGGCGCGACCGGGTCCGAGTGCGTCGTCCAGGCGCTCGCCCGCGGCTCCAAGGTCACCGTCCTCGCGCGTACGCCGTCGAAGTTGGCGCAGCCGCCCGGCACCGCGGGCGAGGCGAACGCGGGGAAGCCGATCGCGGATCTCAACCTCACGGTGATCCAAGGTTCGGTCACGAACGCCGCGGACGTCGCGAAGTGCATCACGAAGGACACCACGGGCGTGATCGTGTCGCTCGGGGGGAAGACGAAGGACGTCGGGCCGACGATGCTCACGGACGGCACGCGCAACGTCATCGAGGTGCGTTCAGTTCTTTTCCGCGCAGCGACCTGCGAACTACAGAACGTTTTTCACCCGCCTCTCTCTCGCTTTCGATAGTCTAGGCAGGGTGCTAACTTATTTGATCGCTCCCCCTTTCAACTGATGACCGATGAACTTCACCCTCATCTCATATCATCAGGCGATGAAGCAAAACGACGTGAAGCGCGTGGCGGTGGTCACGTCCATCGGCGCCGGCGACAGCGCGGACCAAGCGCCGTTCGTGTTTAAGATCCTCATGTCGACCGTGATGCGATCCATCTTCACGGACAAGAACAACCAGGAGCAGCTGTTCTTGGGTCCCGCGGGCCCCGGGAAGGATCTGGAGTTTTGCGTCGTGCGACCGGGCGGGCTCGGGCTGGGTCCGCCGACGGGCGTCGTCAACGTCATCGAGGGCGAGGCCGGGAGCATCGCGCGCGCGGACGTCGCGGACTTTTGCCTCGGCGCGCTCTTCGAGGAGGCGTTTCCGTACATCGGGAAGGCGCCGTGCATCTCGTCGGTGGGAGGGACGTCCTGGACGAAGGATCGTCAGGGGAAGGGCGTGATGGAGGCGTGAGTCAGGGGAGGGACGCGCGCGATCGAGTCGCGATCGAAATCGTCCGTCGGCTTTCAATCGCGAATCTATCTGATCCTACTGCGACGGCGCCGCCGCGTGTGCTGCGCGCGCGTCGTGCTCTTCTTCGGCGCCTCCTCCGTCCTCGGCTTCGCGCGCGGCGTCGATCAGCGCGCGGCGCGCGTTCGCGGCTTCCCCCCCCGCCGCGGCGGCGCGCCGCCGCCGCCGCGCCCTCCGCGCCGCGCCCGCGCCGTCCGCCGCGTTTCGATAGACGCGCGTCGCCTCCGCGCGCATCGACGCCTTCGCCGCCGCCGCCGCCGCTTTCCACCACGCCGCGCGCCTAGAAACCAGCGCGGGGTCCCTGGTGCTCGGTCCGGAGACGTCCACGCCCGTCGCGAAGGTCGGCGGCGGCGGCGGCGGCGGCGGCGGCGCTTCTTTATCGTCGTCGTCGTCGTCGTCGTCGTCGTCGTCGACGACGCGCAAACGTCCGAAGCGTTTCGTCGCGTCGTCCCCCGCCGCCGCCGCCATCTCCCGCCGCACGACGTCGCGCAGCCCGCCACCGACGCCGCCGCCGAAGCCGCCTTCCTTATCCCGCGCCGCCGCCTTCTTCGTGACCACCCCGGGGTGCGTTTCGTCCAACAACGTCAGCGTCAACCGCGGTCCGCGGTACGGACTCTCCGTCGCGCCGAGCATCACGTACACGCGCGTTAACGCCTTCAACACGGGCGTTTCAGGCACTATCTCGCCCGTGTCGACGCGCACGTACCGCAGCGCGTCGCTGCGCGCGTCCGTCGATCGCGAGAGCGCGATCGACGCGTCCGCGGGAGGAGACGCCCTGAGGACCTTCTTCGCGGTCTGAGGGCCGTTCTATACGAGCGAATGTCGGGGTGGAGTTGAAAGGCGTCAGATGGAGTTGAAAGGCGTCGAGGTCGGAGATTGAAACCGTGGGGTGGGCGGAGAGAAACGCCGGGCAAAGTCCTTAAGGATCGGCGTTCACCACGCGAACGCGGTCGTATGGGGACCAATGTATAGAACGCACCTGACCTCCCGCGCGCGTCCCACTCGTCTCCTCCTCGAAGACGGTCTCCTTCGCCGGCAACGCGACGGTCGACGTTCCGTCTTCCCGGTTCGCGCGCCGCAGCCGCACCGCGCCGCGGACGTGGAACCGCGGCAGGAACACGACGACGCCGTCGTCCTTGACCTCGATCACGAGCGCGGGCTCGATCGCCGGCGCCGTTTGCAACACCTTGAGCAAGTACAACTCGGCGCACTTGGTCTGCGCGCGCTTCGACGCGCGGTTCCTCTCGTTGAGGTGCGTCGCCGTCGACGTCAGCGACGCGCGCGACAACGACGACGACGACGAGGAGGAGGAGGTGGTGGTGGGATACGGAACGTCAACCGTCGCGTCGCCTTCGCCTTCGCGCCGCGCGAGCGCCGCGACGAGCTGGCGGTGCGCGATGACGTCCGCGTACCGACGAATCGGCGACGTAAAGTGCGCGTACGCGTCCAACGCGAGGCCGTAGTGCCTGATCGAAAGGGAAAGACGCGTCCATCGGGTCGGTCAGTCGCGCGTCTGGCCGGTCAAACGTGACATGACGTCGAAAGAAGCGGGCGAAGCGCGACGACGAGACGAGACGGGGAAAAAAACAAAATCATCGAGAAAAAACAAACGGCGTGCACCGCGCGAACGGAACGCGGTCGCGCGGGGACCGGCGCGATGACATACCCCCACCCGCCGCCGTCCGCCGGCGGCGTCGCGCCCGCGCACGCGTACTGCGCCTCGCTCATCGCCCGCGTCGCGATCGAGCGAAACAGAACCCCCGCGTCCGCCGGGCACGCCGCGCGCCTCGCCGCGCGCTCGATCGACCCCGCGAGCGCCTCGCCGTTCGACGCGTCGAGCGCGACGTCCACGCCCTCCGACGCGACGAGCGCTCTCAGCTCCTCGAATCCCCCAAGGCGCGGCGGCGCGTGCCGTCGCACGAACGCGCTCGTAGGGAACGCCTCGCGCGCCTTCGTCGCCACGGACGCGTTCGCGGCGATCATCAGCTCCGCGATCACGGCCATCATCGGGACCTCGCCCTTCGTGAGGACGTCCGTGGGGACGCCGTCGTTGGACGTCTCAGGGTCGTTCCATACAAAGCGAACGGCGGGGTGGAGTTGATAGGCGTCAGAAGCGGAGTTGAAAGGCGTCGAGGGCGGGGATTGAAAGCGAGGGGTGGGCGGAGAGAGACGACGGCAAAAGTCCTTAAGGATCGGCGTTCACCACGCCGACGCGGTCATATGGGGACCACTGTATAGAACGCACCTCGAAGCGTAACTCCGCGGAGGAGAGCTCGACGGCGCCGCGCGCCGTCCGCGCCGCGCGCCGCGCCGCCGCGAACCGGCGCAGGACGTCCAGGTCGACGCGCAGCTTCGCCACGGCCGCGGCGTCGAGCGGCCGGATGACCTTCTTCTCATCCTTCTTCTCGCCGCCGCCGCCGCCGCCGCCGCCGCCGCCGCCGCCGTCGTTTCTCGGCACGTCCGCCGCGTCCGCGCCGTCGACGATGGCCTGCGCTTGGTAGTACGACAGCTGGTGATCGCTGCGCACGACGCTCTTGCCGAACCACGTGTCCGACACGTTGAAGTCCGCGTCGAGCGTCCACGCGCACGACATCGCGAGCCGGTCCTCGCGCTCCACGAGCGAGCACAGGTTCTCGGACAGAAGCCCCGGGAGCATGTCTATCCGCCTGTCGACGAGGTACGTCGTCGTCCCGCGCGCGCGCGCCTCGTGATCCAAGTGGGTGCCCTCTCTCACGAAGTGCGAGACGTCCGCGATGTGCACGCCTATCTCGTACCCGCGCGCGTCCGGTAAGATCTTCACGGAGACGGCGTCGTCGACGTCCACGCACCCGGGCGGGTCGATCGAGCACGTCTTCGTCCCGCGGAAATCGCGCCGCGTCTCTCGAGGATTCGGATTCCCGTCGGCGAAATAGCTCTTCTCCACAGTCCACGCGTCTCCCTCCGCCGGCAAGTCGCGCAGCGCAGCCTTCGTGAACGCCGCGTCGTGGACGTCGTGCACGGCGAGAATGCAGCGCGTCTCCGTCTCGATGTCGCCGCGATCGCCGAGTACGGACAACACGCGCGCGTCCGGGTGCGACGCGTTGCGGCGCCAGCCGTCGACGCGCGCGAGCAACCGCTTCCCGCAGAGCGCCGCGCCTCGCCGCGTCATCAGGCGGAGCTTCGGAGCGACGACGTCCATCGGGATCGCGAGGACGCTGTTCCGGTTTCGAGCTTTCGAGCTGCCGCTCGCGGCGTCGGCGTCGGCGCCGTCGGCGCCGGCCCCTAGCAAGTCCGCGACGTCTTCGTCGCAGACGGTGACGACGAGGTCGTCGCGCCGCGCGCGCGTCACGCCGACGACTTCCGCGGTCGGGACCGCGCCGATCGACCGGGGACCCGAGTGGGCACCCTCGGCATCCTCGGCACCCTCTTCATCTTCATCTTTCTCCTCCTCCTCCTCCTCCTCCTCCGCCGCCTCCACGACCGCCCCCGCGCGCGACGCGACCCACCGCGCGCGCGGGAGGAGCCTGAGGGCCGTTCCATACAAAGCGACGTCGGGGTGGAGTTGAAAGGCGTCAGTGCAAGTTGAAAGGCGCCGAGGGCGGGGATTGAAACCGTGGGGTGGGCGGAGAGAGACGCCGGGCAAAGTCCTTAAGGAACGGCGTTCACCACGCGAACGCGGTCGTATGGGAACCAGTGCATAGAACGCGCCTGACCGCGACGACGTCGCCGTCGAACGCGCGATTCATGAGACGCCGCGTCGGGACGAGCACCGTTCGCGACGCGTCGGCGCCCGAGTCGTCGTCGTCGGCGGCGGCGGTGTCGGCGTCGGCACCCTTCCCGTCGCCGGACGCGACGCCGACGCCGACGCGAACGACCGCCTCCGACGGCGCGCGCCTCGATATCCGCAAGACGCCCTCGAGCAAGTCGCCGCGTTCGACGCCCTCCGCGAGCGCCGCCGCGGGCAGATGCGACGGGTACATGAACCGTCGCGTCGAACTCGAGCTTCTCGGATTCGAATCGACGCCACCGCCATCAGCACCCCCCCATCGCATCTCCGCCGCGATGGCCGCCGCGGCGTCCTCCGCGGCGACGCGCGCGGACTCGTACATCTCCGACGTCGCGGCGTCGTCGCCGTGGAATCGCGGGAAGTACTCCCCGGCCGTCAGCACCTCCACCCCCGGCGGCGCTATTCGCCGCCCGTCGCGGAACGCGGCGAGATCTTCCGCGTCGTCATCGCTGAGGACGACGACGGGGAACGCGCCGCGGACTTTCGCGGCGTACCACGCCGCCGCGCGAAGGACCGGGTGGTCGAGCGCGCCGCCGACGCCGCCGTCGTCGTCGTCGTCGTCGGCGTCGCCGCCGTGGACATCGCGACGACGCGTCCGCCGCCTCACCGCGGTCGCTCGGCAGTGCTCGTTCGCGAACAGCACGCTCCTCCGCCGGCGATCGCCGCACATCCGTCGCAGCCGGCGGCTCGCGCGCGCGTTCCCTCGCTCGTGCGCTTTCTTCATCTCCGACGCGAGGAACACCACGCTCGTGCCGGTCTCAGGGTCGTTCCATACAAAGCGACGTCGGGGTGGAGTTGAAAGGCGTCAGATGGAGTTAAAAGGCGCCGAGGTGTGCGGGGATTGAAACCGTGGGGTGGGCGGAGAGACACGCCGGGCAAAGTCCTTAAGGATCGGCGTTCACCACGCGAACGCGGTCGTATGGGGACCAGTGTATAGAACGCACCGCGCCCGCGGGGCTCTCGAGAAAGTCCAGCCATCGCGCGATCGCGCGCGCGTCCGGGACGAGGTAGTGCGTCGTCGCCTCGCCCGCGCCGCCGCCTACCCCTACCCCTCCTAGCGGCGTCCCGACGCCGGACGCGGTGGCGTTATCGCACGTCTCGCACAGCGGGCATCCGCACGGGACGTCGTCGCGGAGGTACGCGTCCTCGACGTAGTTGACGACGGTGGAGGTGCGACGGCGGAGGCGATGCCCCGCGCGCGAGGACGCGCGGCAGGGAGGCGCGGTCGTCGCGGAGGAGGGGTGGGGCGGCGGCGGTGCCGCGCTCATCGCGCGATCGTCGGTGGCGTCATCGTCGCCGAGGGAGGCCGCGTCCGTCCGCTCTGCCAGCGGTCGTCTGCGCGCCGAACGAACAACGTCCGTTTTCATGAGCAGCGACGACTACGACGGCTGCGAGTTTCATCAGATTTCTCCTCGGAGGGCGCCGGGCGCAGTACGATCCGCGCGAGATTGACGGCGCGCGCGAGGATCGGACCGGAAAAAGAGCGCGCGGGGGTCGCCGACGCGCGGGGTTGGCGATCGAGCGCGCGAGGCGGGCGACGTCGCGACTCGGATCGCTCTCGAAGCGCCCATCGATCGACCCATCGATCGACCCATCGGTCGATCGATCGGGGCGAAGGCGCCTTCTTTTCGTCGTCGACGCGTCCGCCGTAGTCCGACGATCGAACCGTCGGCGGCGGCGCGCGAGAGAGCCAGAGAAGAACGCCGTCGAGTCGACGCGCGTCCGTCGTCGCGATGAGCGAGCCGCCGCCGCCCGGGATGGACGACCCGCCGCCGCCCGGGATGGAGCCCGACGACGCCGCCGCGACGGCGACGGCGACCGCGACGAATGCGATGGATCCCTACGCCGCGTACTACGCCGCCCAAGCGGCGGCCGCGGTCCCGGCGCAGCAGCAGCAGGCGGCCGCGACGGCGACGGACCCGGAGGCGTACGCGGCGTACTACGCGCAGTGGGAGCAGTACGCGGCGTCGCAGGCGGCGGAGGCGGCGAAGGCGGCGTACGCGTACGAGAGCGCCAAGTACGCGGAGGCGCAGGCGCGCGCGGTGCCGAGCGCGGAGACGCTCGCGCAGGTGCGCGCGTGCTGTATTTCACCCGTCGCCCGGTTTCAACATTTGATCGCGTCCCCTTTCAACTGACCGATGAACGTTAACTTAACCCTCCCTCAGGTGGCGAGCGCAATCTTTTCGGGCATCCCGGAGGACGCGCCCAAGCCGAAAGCCGAGCCGCCGCCGCCGCGCGCCGGAGCCGCGTCGACCGACCAGGGGCCGGCGGCGCCGTCGCCGGGCGATGGCGCGCCGCCGCCGCCGCCGCCGCCGCCGACGGAGGAAGCGATGGACGCGACGGCGCCGCCGCCGCCGACGTCGAACCTCCTCGTCCCCCGCCAAGTCTCCGTGCCGCCGCCGCCGCCGCCGCCGCCGTCGACGACGACGACGAACCCGACGCGTCCGCATCATCACCCCGCGGGCGCCGCGCCCGCGCCCGCGCCCTCCATCATCGCGAAGCACCCGAACCACAAGAGCGCGGCCGCGGCCGCCGCCGGGCGGGAGGCGGCGGTCGCGCCGAAGACCGCGAAGGGGCCCGGGTGGCGGACGACGGCGGCGGCGGCCATCGCGGAGACGGGCGGCGCGACCGCGGCGGCGCTGAACGAGTCTCGGCGCGGCGGCGGAGGAGGAGGAGGAGGAGGAGGAGGGAACGACGATCGAGATCGAGATCGACGGCGGAGTCGCGAGCGAGGGCGGCGCGGCGGGAGTCCGAGCGGGAGCGGGAGTCGGAGTCGGAGTCGGAGTCGGAGCCGGAGAGGACGCCGCGACCGGAGCGGCGGGCGAAGGGACCGCGACAGGGACCGCGACAGAGAGCGCGACAGAGATCGCGACAGAGATCGCGATCGCGACGACGATCGCGATCGACGGCGACGACGCGATCGCAGCCGCGGGGACGACGGCGGGGGACGAAGAGACCGTCGACGCTCGGACGGCGCCGCCGACGCGGCGGCGGCGGCGCCGCCGCCGCCGCCGCCGGAGCCCGCGCGCGAGCCCGCCGCGGCGACGGAGGAGAAGGACAAGGAATACTGGGAGCGGTACTACGCGGAGAAGTTCGGCATCCCCGTCGGCGGCGCCGCGCCCAAAGAGAAAGAGAGAGAGAAAGAGAGAGAGAGAGAGCCGGCGACGAAAAAGGAACCGAGCGCGCCGCCGAAAAGACGTCGGTCGTCGTCGCCCGCGCGCGTGGAGGAGCCCGCCGCCGCCGCCGCGAAGGAAGAGGACGTGGACTGGACCAAGTACTACGAGGAGAAATTCGCGAAGAAGGAGAAGAAGGAGAAGAAGGACTCTAAGAGAAGCAAGCGCGCGCGCTCGCGCTCGGGAAGGTCCAAGTCGCGATCCGGAGGAGAGACGCTGGTCTCGGATCAGCCCGAGGAGGCGAGTCCGAGTCCGGGTCGCGCGCGGAAGAGTCGAAGGCGCGACCGCTCGCGCTCCGGTGGCGGTCGCGGCGGCCGATCGCGATCGCGATCGCGGTCGGCGGACCGGTCTGCTCGGGGAGAGCGGGGGCCCGCGTCTCTGCTCCGGATGGGGGCGTGGAGGTTTCGGAGCGCGAGCGCGCGCGCGTGCTTATAAAGGTGATCGATACCGGGAACGAGACTTGGACCTTCGCGAGCGCGAGCGCGCGCGCTT